TCACTGAGAGGTCCTGAGCAGTGGTACTCACTGAGAGGTCCTGAGCAGTGGTACTCACAGAGAGGGGCCTGAGCAGTGGTACTGACAGAGAGGGGTCCTGCGCAGTGGTACTCACAGAAAGGGGTCCTGAGCCGTGGTAGTCACAGAGAGGTCCTGAGCAGTGGTACTCACAGAGAGAGGTCCTGAGCAGTGGTACTCACAGATAGATCCTGAGCAGTGGTACTCACAGTGAAGAATTTTGGGCAGAAGAAGAGGCACCATTTGCTCAACATCCTTTGATATTAAGGAGCTAGCTGGTACAGCTGAAGTTGGTGGAAGTACAGACAGAAAGACAGAAGGTGAGATTGTGGCAAGAAACAAAAATACTTTGCTTTCAAAACTTAAGAACCCTGTCAACAACTCAAGCATCTGTCACCTGTACCTGACACTGGACCCTTTACTTGCCAGCCTTTGGTACTTGGGAGAGTCATTGTCCTCCTGATTTAGGGTAACTCCACTTCAATTCCTTCCATATGTGTTTGTGTGTTTATTTTGGGAAGATTCTACAGTAATAGGTTTCCACATGGTTTTTCAAAGGTCTTTGGTGCTGGTCATCTCTCCCCATATACTGTCCTCTGCTGTCCCCCATCCCATCCAAGTTAACCCTTGCTCTTCCATCATTGCCTTTTTCCTTTTCATTCTCTCCTCATCTGACTCTCCACTCCTTGCCCCCTACCCATGCCTTCTGTGGGTATGCCAATTTAGACACACACACATCAAAAGATTCAAAGCTAGCACTCACTTATGAAAGAGAACATGTTGTGTTTGTCTTTTGGGTAGGGGTACCTTATTTAGAATGATTCTTTCTAGTGGCATCCATTTACTTACAAATTTCAAAATTGCTCCTCTTTTTACAGCTTAATAATGTTCTGTTATGTATATGTACCACATTTTAATTATCCATTCATCAGTTGGTAGCTACCTAGGCTATTCCCTTTTCCTTGCTATTGTGAATAGAGCAGCAGTGAACAAGCTGCTCTATTCTTAGATACATCTTTATCTAGATCTACCTGTCTCTAGATATCTATCTATCTATCTACCTACCTATCTATCTATCTATCTATCTATCTATCTATCTATCTATCTATCTATCAATCTATCTATCTATCTTCCTACCTACCTATATCTATGGGTGAGCAAGTATCTCTGTAGTAGGAATAGGGTCTTTTGGAATATGCCCAGGAGTGTATAGCTGGATCATATGGTAGATGTATTTATAGCTCTTGAGGAACCTCCACACTGATTACACAGTGGCTGCACCAGTTTTCACTCCCACCAACAGTGAGTAAGTGTCCCTCTTTCCCACATCCATGCCAGCTTTTGCTGTCATTTTTTAAATCTTAGTCATTCTGACCTGGGTAAGATGAAATCTCAAAGTTGTTGCATTTCCATGATGGATAAAGATCCTGGACATTTAAAAAATGTTTCTGAACCATTTGTGTTTTTTCTTTTGAGAACTTTATTTTGTTCCATGCCCCAGTTTTTAATTGGGTTATTTTCTTGGTGTTTAATTGTTTTTTGCTTGTTTGTTTGTTTTTGTTCCATATACTCTAGACCCTTTATAGGGGTCAAATGACCTTTTTACAGGGGTCATCTAAGACCATTGGAAAACATAGATATTTACAGTATGATTCATAACAGAAACAACATTACAGTTACGAAGTAGCAACAAAAATAATTTTATGATTGGGGGTCACCACAACATGAGGACATGTATTAAAGGGTCACAGCATTAGGAAGGTTGAGACCACTGCTCCAGAAAATAACCATCTGCCAGATATATAGCTGGGGTAAATATTCCCCCTCATTTTGTAGGCTGAGTCTTCACTTTGTTTATGGTGTTTTTTGCTGTACATAAACTTTTTAATTTCATAAGATCCTATTTGTTGATTATTGGTTGTAACACCTATGCTACTGGGAACCTAGGAAGTCTTCCTGGGCCCTTAGTTCAGGTGTACTCCCCACTTTCTCTAGAAAAGACTCAGGTCTTATATTGAGGTCCTTGATCCATTTGGAGCTGAGTTTTATGGAAGGTAAAAGATAAGGGTCAAATTTCATTCTTCTACATGAAGCTACCCAGTATGACAATTTGTTGAAAGATGCTGTCTTTTCTCTGGTGTGTATTTTAGGCCTCTGGCAAAAATTGGGTGGTTGTAGTAGTGTGGGTTTATATATCTTCAATGCTATTCCATTGATTACTTTGTTTGTTTTAATGCCAGTTCTATGCTATTTTTATTTCTATGGGCTGGTCAGTGTGTAAAGAGACTGTGAGGTACTCAGCTCTGAATGGTGTATCTATATCATATCCTTTCCATCCAAGGTTCAGCAACCATTGTAGAAGAGCGCGTAGGAAGTCTGTAAGGGCCAGAGGCAGCGAATGTCTGCAGTGAAACAATATTTGCTGGGCATGACAGGCCATTGCACACATGAACTCACAGTACCTGTAACTGTATGTGCAAGACCTAAACCAGGTCATGCCAGTTAACATCTCAGCACGCATGAGGAGTGTCATTTCCTCTAGGGCTATGGCCCCTGAAAGGCTACCTGTGGTCCCAACACTCATGCACGTACAGGCACCACTAGGTGGAGTTAGTGGGATTTTTAAAAGAGCACATGAAGTTGGGTGGGAAAAGTGGTAGGGAGGATAGAAGAGGAATTCGAGTCCAAGGACGCGGGGATGGATTTTATTGAAACACATTAAATGCATGTATTAATATTTAATAATTTGTTTTACTTTGCACTGCTTCTTTCTTGCTCTGCTCTGCTATCCCAGAGTGTGTCCTTATTTGTTTTGTGTGGCCGTGGGTCTTCACGCATTTGTTAGTACAAAAGCTCGTCCTCTGACCTGCTATGGTCTTACAGTTTTGACACAGACCGTCCTTTCCATTCATTCCTTTGAGTGGCAGATGTGGAGAAGAGGTGGAGACTTTTGGTCTGTACACATCCCGAGGCCATCCAAATGCATCAGTTTGCAGACCCTGCTTTCTCTCCAGGTGTTTTGGCACCTGGTTAGACCGAAGAAAAGGAAATACTGGAACGCTCTAGGTCTGGGTGGAATCTTAGAAACCCTGTGTCCTTCAGATTCACTCCGATCTTTGGCTGTGGTCTCAGCTCAATGATACCGTGCCATTTCCTGTCGATGACAGTTTCAAATGCTGGCTTGTTCCTTGCCTGATCCCTACTCCTACAAGGGATGCACCCCAGTACAATGATGCCACTTGTTTAAATTTGTATTTCCATAGATGACCCATATTCCAAACATGAAAAGTTCTCAGTTTTCTATGTATTAATTTTATACTCATTTTAATGAGCAACTAAATAATAGTTGTGTTGAAAGAGACTTTGGGGAATGTAAAATGGCCTAAGACAAAGTTCTTGCTCTCAAGGGGAGATGAAACATGTATGATATTTGATCAGGCAAGTGAGTTATTAGAGGGCAGGGCTGGTTAGGGGACGGGGAATCAAAGTCAGCAAGAGAGCTATGGGACATGTTCTAAACTCCTAGACCAGTAGGTTCATACAGATTACTAAAGGGTAAGTTTTCTGTCCTCAGCCTGTGGGTGAACAATCCTGGAGTCTTTCCTTGGGAACACCGGAAGTAGCCAGCCAAGGCCAGCAGGACTGTGGACTGCTTCTCTTGTAAAGCTGTTTGCTTGGTCACAAATAATATAGAGGAAAGGAAGAAATCCTGGACAACACTTATTTAAACAACAGTTCAGGCTGAGCTAGAGGGTTGGCTGAGGACAGGAGCCTTCATGTCCACACTGATCATCTCAGAGCTGTGGAGAGCAGCATCCAGGAACGTGCCCCACGCAGGCCTGGATATAAGCTGTAACTTCTACACAGAAGCGCAGGTGACTGATATACAAGCCTGGGGGAATTAGAACCCAGTCCAGCACCGTGGAAGCCATGTGAGCACAGACACTCAGCCATTTGAAACAGGCCAAGCTGGGCTTGGATTTTGTCCACTGATAATTCAATATAAATCAAGACAGAACATGGTGGAATTAAATAAAACAGAGGATTGGTGGCATTTCTGAGATAAAGGACTTATGGTAGAGCATTTATATTTAGATTAGAGTTGTGATGACAGTCTTTAGAAAGACAGGGATTTTAAACAAGTCCTGGTTGGGAAGGTTGGCAGCAAGCCAAGTGAAGAAAACAAAGCGTGTGCGTGCGGCAGGAAAGATGTCATGGAGAATGCTCTAGAATACGAGGACAATGGGGGAAACTGAGATCAAAGACCTGGATATACTTGGCTTGGCCTCAAGGTTTTTGAAACTGTAATTGAAAGATGGAGAAGGAGAGAAAAATGTTACCAGAGTGTAAAATCCGTTCACCTTTTACCTTTGAACTGTGCCCTCCCAGCGCCCTGAGTGGAAAATTAGGCGGTGAAGTCAGAGGGAGCCGAATGGGAGCAGACAGGGAGGGGGGAATTCTACCTGTGGCTACTGGGTGAGAAGGAGGCAACTGACATTCATCTTGCTAATTTGCCTTTAACATTTCTGACTTGTTCTGCTTCCCCGCCTCCACCTCCTCCCTCCTTTCTTCGGCTGTTTCCTTCAGATCTTCCCCCGAGCTCTCCTGCTCCAAATCCTAGCAGTTTTTCTGGCTGCATTTGTCTGGTGCTATTTTCCAGTCAAGGGAGAGCATACAGGAGGGAAGGCTGGCTATGTTCATAACCGTTTCATCAGGTTTCCTGTCCCTGCTCAAGGCGTGGATGAAACTGATAAGCAGCCCTCTTAATTTCAGGAAAACAGTGGAAATACCAAGTCTCAGAAAGAAAAGTTAAATTTTGTGACTGTCAATCAGAATTAGAACTTCCACGGGACTCACTACAACCCTGCAACTGCTGATAATTTAGATGTATTAATTACTTACATCTCCAACTGATATGACTGCAAAATTGGAAAATCACAAGGTAACTGACTAGATGATGTGAATTGACTGATTGACTATAAATGGCTCAAGTGCTACCTGGCTGTGTTAATGATTGAGCAATAATTTGTGAAGTTTTTTCTTTGCTTTTCCAAATTACAACAGGAAAATATCCTATGCAAATTATAAATGGGTCTGCAAACACGTTTTGATCATTATTTGGAAGGAGCTAGGTGAGATTTTTTGGAAGCCAGACTGTTTCTCATGTGCCCGTGAAACAAAAGGCCCAAGGCCAAACCACAAAGTGACAGTTTACTTTACCTAGAGATAAGCTAAATATATAGTTCAAAAGCCACACAAACGTCTCGTCTCTGGGTGCTGACATTAGGCTACTGCAAGCAAAAACGCTTAAACTTCCCATTCATTTTGGTCATTGGCAAAAACAATGGAATTATTTGCAAAAAAACAAAAACAGAACCAAAAAAAAAACCAAAAATTAAAAACAAAATGAGGCTGGATTCAACTTTTTTTTCTGGTGAGAAAATCTAAACTTCCAAAAGACCAAGTGAGTGAATCAAAGGCATACAGCTAACCAGGGCAGTCTCCATGGTGTGCAGTCTCTTCAGTGACTACCATTCACACTCAAACTCCTCGGTGAGGTGAGTACCGAACAGGCCAGCATAATCTGCACCCTCACTTTTTTTTTTTTTTTTTGTGTGTGTGTGTGTATGTGTAGGGGGCTTCTAATCTCTGTCAGAAATGTGTACTTGTTCTCTCCAACCACAGTGGTTTATTCAGGTTTTGAAACACTGAGATATGAGCTTTGCATGCACTGGGAGGCCACTCTTCTCTGCTGATTGACTTAGATAAGCATTGCTTGTTCCTCTCAACAAAACACAGTCCTGGCTCACCAGGACTCCATGTGCATAGGCCATCCCTTGAATCCTGTGGCACCTCTACAACCCATTGTCATCCTCTTGTCACATCCTGTTTTAATGCCCCACTACTCTGCTGCTTCCTACACTGTGGGCCATCACCCCATAAGGGGTCCTGTAACTCACTGTGACTCCTGTAACTCTTTGTACTCCATAGGTGGGAATGTGAACCAGTCATGAGTCAAATTAGAATGAAGGCTCTTTCAAAGCCTAAAACTAGACCTACCATGTGACCAGCTGTATCACACCTAGGCATTTACCCAGAGACCTCCAAGTGAACACATCACAGAGATACCTGTATATCAATGTTTAGTACAGCACTGGTCACAATAGCTGAGCTATGGAACTAACCTAGGGGCCCGTTCAACTGAGGAATGGACAAAAAAAAATGCAGTGCATATATACAATGGAATGTTTTCAGCCATAAAGAAAAATTAAGTTATGTTAATTGCAGGAAAATTGATGCATCCAGAGTTAAATGCTAAGCAAATTACATCAATTTCAGAAGGACAGCTCCCATGCTTTCTCTCATTTACAGGTCCTAGATTTTATGTAAATATCTAACATCATATATGCAGGGATGATTTGAAAGGAGCAAAACCGTCTAGTAGAACAAAGGGGACAAATGGGAAGTGGATGGAGCGGGGGAGGGGAGGTCTATGAGGTGGGGATGGAAACAGGTGTGAGGTGAAGAGAGGAGGTATATGAGGTAGGGAAGGGAGTGGGTGTGATGTGAAAAGGAGAGGTATATGAGGTGGAGAGGGAGTGAGGTATGAGGTGTAAATATGCTCAGGGTACTTTATACACTTGCAGAAAATGACCTTGTGTTGCACAGTCTAATAAAATAAGAAATAAAAAGTATTGGAAACAGTGAACGGTTTTTGAATGGACAGTGAATAAGAACTAGTTGGAAGCATGTAACGAATCTGAGGTATTTCTGGCAGGGCTCACCTTTGGTGCACTGTGCAGCTTTACTGCAGCCCTGGCTCTGCACACACCCCGGCCTCACACATTCTGCAGTGTGCAGCCTTCCACCTCAGGCAATGCCAATGAATGTTTCAGTGATCTTACTGTACTTGGGAAGTTTTCTGATCTTACATAAACAATGCTTTGTTACAGAAAACTTAATGTTTTCTTCTTGTCATTCCTCAGAGTATAAATCGTCAAATTAGTTTATCTTTAAAAGACTTATGTTTACACAAGCACATCTGTCTCACCAGTATGCAATTTGTTTCATCTTTAATACATGATAAAATGAACTATATACAAAGATGTTTTTAAAAGATTTATTTATTTAATTTATTTTTATGTATAAAGGTGTTTTGCCTGCATGAATATCTGTGCACCATGTGTGTGCCTGGTGCCCATAGAGGACCAAAGAAGGCATTGGATCTCCTGGAACTAGAGTTATAGATGGTTTTGAGCTGTCATGTGGGTGCTTGGAATTGAACCTGAGTCCTCTGGAGGAGTAGCCAGTGCTCTTAACCATTGAGCCATCTCTCCAGTCCCAAGATTTATGTTTGTTTTTATTTTTAGTTTGTATATGTGTGTAGCTGGAGAGTTTTCTCTCCAGGTTCCGCCAAGCCCCAGCAGTCCCTTAGCCCACTTATAAAATAAACATACAGATGCTTATATTATTTAAACTGTTTGGCCATTAGCTCAGGCCTATCATTGTCTAGCTCTTACTCTTATATTCAGCCCATTTCTATTAATCTATACTTTGCCACGTGGCTTGTGACTTATTGGTACCTTACATCTTCCTTGTCCTGGCAGCGGCTACAGGTAGTGTCTCCCTCTCTGCCTTCCTGTTCCCTCAATTCTCCTCTCTGTTAGTCTCCCGCCTATACTTACTGTCTGGCTACTGGCCAATCAGTGTTTTATTTATACAGAGAGATATCCACAGCATATGTGCATGGGTATGTGCATACGAATGCAATGCTCATGGAGGCCAGAAGAGGGTGACCAATCCCCTGAGGTCAAACTACAGGTTGTGGTGCCTGGCATGGTTGTTTGGAACCTGACTGGGCTCTCTGTGAAAGCAATGCATGCTCTTAACTGCTGAGCTATCTCTCCAGACCATAAAGAATGCTTTAAAATATTTTTATTAATACTTTATTACCAGAAACTGTTTAGCTTGAATGTATTTGTACACATTGAAATATAACATTTGGCCAAGGTACACTCAACAGAGAGCTGTTGGTTGGTTATTAGAATAAATGCCTCCATGAAGGAGATAATTTAATGTTAGAACATGGGTTGAGAAGTCTAGAGAGTGGGTAGATTCCACTTCTACTCATCAAATATTCCAACAAGTAGATGTAGCTTGAGTTTTCCTGCCTGGCCCACAGTCAGGGCAAATCTCTCTCACCTGCCAGTCCCACAGCCACTCAGACCCAACCAAGCAAACACAGAGACTTATATTGGTTACAAACTGTATGGCCATGGCAGGTTTCTTGCTAACTGTTCTTACAGCTTAAATTAATCCATTTCTATAAATCTATACCTTGCCACATGGCTCGTGGCTTACCGGCATCTTCACATGCTGTTTGTCATCGTGGCGGCTGGCAGTGTCTCTCTGACTCAGCCTTCCACTTCCCAGCTTTATTCTCCTCCTTGTCCCGCCTACACTTCCTGCCTAGCCAATGGCCAATCAGTGTTTTAATTATTGACTAATCAGCAACACATTTGCCATACAGAACATCCCACAGCAAGTAGAAGTGGGTGTGGGGTGCTCTTTGAATACCCTTTCTTTGAAGATGCTCAGATTTGCAAGTCATAGCAAGATACACTCAACTTTGCTGTATATGGATGTGAACTTACAAATATGCAACATCTGCTTAGGAAAGTCAGAAACTCAGGAAGCATTTGTTTATTTATAGTGGCATGCAGACCAATACAAGAGTTTGGCAAAATTATTGAAACTGCTTCCCATCTAGCAGGGCTAATATATTTAAGTAACCTACTTACAATTTAGAACTGATAAGACCTTGTGTGAAGCAGGATCTGCCAAATTCGACTTTTCTCCTGTTCTTATGTTTCCAAGTTTCAGCAAGATTATGGTTTTCCAGTGCAAGAGAAAGCATAAAGGCCATCCCTCTAGGACATGACTGGCTCTCATACATTGAGCCTTGACCAAAACACTCACTGTCATCATTTGTATGTTAGCAAATGAAGTAGCATGAAGGAAACTGTGTGGAAAAGAAAGCACACATTTCAAATTTCAGGGGTTTGACTTCGAAAAGAAAGTTCAAATTATACCTACTCATCCTAGGGCAAGGGACATCATGACCTCACTGGAGTTGTCCTCAGTCCCTGACACAGCCAGCATTCAAACCTTTGTATCTCATGTTTGCTTAGGAGAATGAGTCTGCAGCTCTGATTAGATAGTCAAAGGAGTCCGTGGCTTCCTCAACTACTGAGAATCACTGCTGTTAAGTCATTTCAGCTTGAAATCCTCTACAATGGGAATGGAAGAGTCCATTTTCTAACAGTATTCACTTTGGAGGGAAATTCAGTAACTTAAGCAAACTGTGAACTCAGGATGCCCTGATAAGGTTAGCATGAATCCGCCCTTAGTTCCCTGTGCTGTAACCAAATGACTGTTTCTTCTGTGTTAAATTGAAACTCCAGTGAAAGGACTTCCCTTCCCAATTGGATTGTACTGAAGACAATAATTCAGAAAGTGTCTCTAGGGATGCAGGGACACAAAGTAAAGCCTGCTTCTATGGTGGTAATGAGAAGCCTTGTTGTGCATGAGCTGTAACATTGGCTGTGGCCTTTGCTTGAATGATCATCTAGATTCAAAACATTTATAAAACTCTTTTACTCCTTAGCTGTTTGACCATTGTACAGAATTTGTCAATGTTGAAATAATATTTTTGAAGTGCTAGAAAGAGTCAATAAAAAAGCAAGTAAATTGTTATTTCACTTAACAAATATGTTGAGGAAAGAATATTATAAAAGAAATGATTGGATGAAATAATCTAAAAAGCATCATCCATCTGCGTGATTCTAGACTTTTATCATTGAAAATATATGAAGGATATTTACTCTTGTATAGAGCAGCATTTTGCGGTTATATCAATATGTTGTGTCTGAATGAACAATGAGGGTGATTATTTATAACTTGCATTCTTTATGTTAATATATTATTCAAAGAACCACTGGAGGGTTAAAATGAACATAATTTTCTCTACAAATTAGATTTGTTCAAAGATAAGTTATCAAGTACAGTTAAAATATGAAAAGAGTGAGGCTAGCATACATGTTTATTCTTGTGCCATTGGACTAATATTTTTTTTCAAGATTTTAAAAAGTATGTACTGATTTACTCTGGCAAAATAACAAGAAAAGCAACCCAAATGAAGAAGGATTTATTTGGCTCATGGTTTGAAGGGATACAATCAATCACAGTAGAGGAGACATGGTGGTAGGTGGCTCCATGGTAGGTGCCCTGAGATCCCTCACCTTCTCACATCTCCACGGAGAAGGAAGCAGAAAGTGAACAGGAAGCAGCATAGATTCATAAACAATCATGGCCCACCCCCAATGACCTACTTCTTCCAGCAAAGCGCCGCCTAATACAAGCTTCTCAAGACAGCGCCATCTGAGGGGAAACAAGTATTCAAATACATGAGCCTACGGAAGACATTTTACACTCCAGCAGTAAGACTTGGATTCCAACTATCATATCCTGGGTTCTGTTCTCCCTCAGGATTTACCCT